GTATAATGATGGTTTGTTTTGTAGACCATTCAAAACTGTGAAAAATTGCTTGCTCTGTAAAAATCCTTTGGGAAATATTTGCAAAAGGTAAAAAATTCAAAGGAGGGCTAATAATTTTGACTTTAACTGTACACCACCGTCTAAAACTGTATGGTCAGGAAGGTGTGTGTGTATATGTATGTATATATATATATATATATATATATATATATATATATATATATATATATATATATATATATATATATATATATATATATATATATATATATATATATATATATATATATATATAATTCATTTAATTTTAGTGGGTTGTTTATTTTGTATTTTTTTATCTTTATTATTTTTAAAAAATTTTATTATGGTATGCAAATAATGTACTTTGCATTTGTTTGCTCTGTGCCAATATTCTGGCACACATTAACCGGAAAAGAAAAGATAAACACCTTGATAATGCTGAACAACTCTGCATCTATTTGCATATATTTCTCTGCATGTGGATTACAGTTCAAGTCAACATTATTTACCCTCCTGTGGATTTTCATTTCTTTTTCAAGGAAGCCGGTGGAAGCTGGATTTTTCAAGGAATTTGTCACAGTATTTCCTATAATATTTGTGTTTCTGGAAAAGGTCTTATTTGTTTTATTTCGGATAAATTAAATCGGTTTTTGATTTCTTTTAACAAACATTTTAAGGTCAATATTATTAGCTCCCTTAAGCAATATTTTAACAAATAAAATAAAAAAATATTACTTAATCAAAAAAATTAATAAATAAACGTAACACACTGCCCCTACACTCTCCCCTAAATACAAACCAAAACACAAACAAGAAAATATTATTTATTGAGTTAAGCCAAAATAAATGACTATAAACCAAACTAACTAAATAAAAGAAAACTTCCCTGGAAAATAAAAAAGACAATTAAAGTACAGAAAACTTACCTCCCTACTAACAACACAGGAGAAAATGAAAAATAATTAACAGAAGGCACCAAACCTCCCTACCATGCTCCAAGCCAGATAGGGAGACAGAAAACTGTGTTTCTCCATTTAGTATGCAACACATTGGCATCCCACAACACGCTATATAAGAGTCATCAGCAACAATAACTCCTTTTCATTACTCAAGCAACATCTCTACAAAGAATAACGAGAAGGGAATCGAAAGAGAGCAGGGAGCAGATGAATCCATGTTCCCTGGTGTTTTAAATACGGCCACCGCCAATCCAAGCATCAATCATTATCCTCCATAATCTGGTGCAACTGCGAATAATTGAGAATGAGAGAGAGCGAGAAAAGGAACAAATATTATTGAGCTTATAAATCTGGAGAGCTAATAATTCTGACTTCAACCGTGTTTTCCGTAATGAACGCTCTTATGTTTTGTGTTTGACAGAGGACGTCACTATGGTCATTTGTCCTGGCATCGGGAACCACAGTGAGAAGCACTACATCCGCACGTTTGTGGATCATTCACAGAAACAGGGCTACCGCTGTGCTGTGCTCAATCACCTTGGGGCCTTGCCGAACATTGAGCTCACCTCTCCTCGCATGTTCACTTACGGTACCCGATGCTTTTATTATTTTAGATTATGACAACAAATGTGTTTGTCCAGTAAACTCTTTATCAGTAGAGTGATTTTACTGGTGTGAACTGGAATACAGAAATAACCAGTTTTAGCCTGCGTGCATGCGTGCTTTGTTTTTTAGGCCAGTTAAGAAATGTTGTTTTGTTTGGACAGATCTAGCTGTCAATGCTTTACCTGTGTTGTTTTATGTTTACATTGTACTTTACATTTTTGTTTTAATGTATTGCCTTACAATATATTTTCAAACTTTATTAAATACTTTATTAACATTTTTATTTATTTTATTTTATTCTTTTTTTTAATCTTCTTGTACCACTTTATATTTTAGTGGGTTGTTTATTTTGTATTTTATAATTTCATTATTGTACCACTTTAGTTTATTATGTATCTTATTTTATCATTTTTTATTTTATCTAATAAAAAATGTTTTTTTTTTAGAATTGTCATTATTTTTATACACTTTTGCTAATATTTAATAATTATAGTATATTTATATATATTTTTTTGCTTATTTTTATTTGTGTTTAGTTATCTATTTTATTTGCTTATTTAATTTTATTCGTTTTTTGTTTAAGTTTTAGTTTATTTTTATAAATAAATGTTTTTAAACAAATTTATTTATTTTTATTTGCTTGTTTTTTTTTATCTGTTTTTGTTTATTATTGTTTGTTTTTATTATTTTTTTTTAAAGTGTATTTATTCATATTTATTTATTTATTTTTGCTAGTTTTTATTTTTATTAATTTTGTTCATTTATTTATTTATTTTTAATTACGATTATTTATTTATTAATATTGCTTTGTTTTTTATTTGTTTTTGATTATTATTAATATTATTTATTTTTTTGAATGAAAGCATATTTTTAATGAGATGTATTTTTATTTTTTTTAACATTTATTTATTTTATATTGGCTTATTTATCTTTTTATGTTTTTTGTTTAAATTTTGGCTTTATTATTCAATGTTATATAATTTCTAAAAGTATAAAATACTTGTTTGCTTCTTTCACCAGGTTGTACATGGGAGTTTGCAGCAATGGTGGGCTTTATCAAAAAGACATATCCCCAGTCCAAGCTCATCGTGGTGGGCTTTAGCCTGGGGGGAAACATTGTCTGCAAGTTCCTGGGAGAAAACCGTACCAACCAGGAGCGCGTTTTGTGCTGTGTCAGCGTGTGCCAGGGCTACAGCGCACTCAGGTGAGTCCAGGTCAAATGGTGGTCCACAAAGCCAAGATTTGCCAGCTTGTTTTGGGCACCAGTAGGCATATTTTATTCCTGTTGTCAGTGGACTCTGACTGAACTCTAGATAAGAGCTGACTTTGTATGTGTACACTGCAGTTAGTTATTTAAGAGGCACAGATGGATTCATATTGTGTTCACCCGTTTCCTCCTGTTGACATTTGCATGAAGTGTAACGCTCATACAAGAAAACTAGTGTGTTGAGGCTTCGAAATGTTACGAAACTCATCTTTACAGTTACACCTAGCTGTCAGTTTTTAGGTATTGCTTTTAAATAACTTTAACAAAGAAACAGTTATGTGAACTGAGGAGTTATACCCTACGTTCATCAAGACATCAAGTGAATTAGTAGAGTGGTTAGTGCACTTGACTGCCATGCAGATGAATTGGATTTGAATTCAGGAAGTCACAATTTCTGAAGGCTTGTACAAGGCGGCATTCAATTTCGGGTCACTCGTAGCACAGTTGAATTATCCCCATGTTTGGTCCACTAGGCTACGGGAGATGGTGATTTTGTTTTCGACCCTTTTAACCAAACGCAGATTCAGCAGATCTCTGAATGTTTGTGTAGTTATTGATCCTTTCAATTGCTTTAGTTACATGACCTGGGTGTTTCAAAATGTTTTGGAGCAGTGTTTCGAAACATCTGCGGTTTAGGATCTCGACACAGTGTCGAAATGTCAGTTTTGTGTCAGCCATTTCTAAAGAAAATGCATTCTGCTTCTGCATTTGTGTAAGAAACTAAAATTCTATAGAGATAAAGAGGCTTATGGATGGATGGATACTGTCTAGATGGATAGATGAATTGATGGATACTGTTCGGATTGATAGATGGATGGATACTGTCTAGATCAGGGGTCACCAATCACTTTCCTGGAGGTCTGGTGCCCTGCAGGGTTTAGCTCTAACTTGCCTCAACACACCTGCCTGGGTGTTTTAAGTAAACGCAGTAAGACCTTGATAAGCCCCTCCCCAGGAAAATTGTCATTTTATAGCAATCACTGATTGGCCTCTGTGCTAGAAGGCGGGCTTTATTCACTAAGGGTGTCACGATTTCAATTTTAAATCGAAATTGATAAAAATTTATGCTCAATTTCAATTATCGAATCAAATAATAGAATCGTTGATGCTGCCATGCCCCTATGTCACGTCAGCTTGGCTTGCAAAGCGGGAAAAAAACAGGCTTGTTGAAGTGCTTGTTAACCTGTGCAGACGCAGGAGACCCGTCGACAGAGCTTAAACCCTCTCCTCTTTCAATGAAGTCGCCGGTGTGGAAGTATTTTGGATTTCCAGTGAGTTATGTTGACAACGTTCGTGTTGTCGAAAAAAAAAAAAACAGTTTGCAAGCTCTGCTATGTACGTATTAGGGTTGGGCTGATAGACGATGGGCGCATCGCGATGCCCCGCCCCCGTTGCAAATCTGCTCACGAAAAATACACACTCAGGCCATGTTTACACTAATATGTCTTTCTTTTTAAATGGCATTTTAGAACAACAACGATCCACATCCACACTGGCGTGTAGCATTACTGAGCAGCCCTCCTTCCTCACTACTGCTGAAAACGCACATCACGTGACCACACACAGACACAGACGCACACACAGTCATGCGCCCGAGACAGTGGGTCCAGGCAGTCAGCGAGTCAGTAGACTGCTTTAATCTTTTACTTTCACACTAGTACTTAGTCATTTTTGCGAACACCTCAGATACTGTTGGCTGGTTCCTGTTGGTTGTGCACCTTTTTCACCGACGCCATTAAAACAACACAGATCACTGCCTATTCACGAGTCCCGCAGAAAAAAGTGATTGACAGGTGGTGATTATGTGTGTAACTTACCTTTATTCATTTACTGTATGATTTGTATATGGGTAAAACAAAGACCATGCAAGTCAGGTAGTTTAAACGGTAGGCTACAAATAATTAATTCGTTATTAATTAATTGATTATTCACAATCAAAAATCGAATCGAACCATGACTTTAGAATCGAAAATGTAATCGAATCGAGGATTTGGAGGATCGTGACACCCTTATTATTCACCATATAGTGATCACTGATTGGCCTCCTTTACTAGAAGGCGGGGCTTCATTCGCCATATTGACTGTTACACTTTTCCCCATTTAAAATTATACGAGTGACATGTCTTGTGTATTCTATAGTCTTTGCCAGACGTGAGTTTTTGCAGATATTGTGTGATACGAACATTTAGAAATTAAACTAAATAGACAGTTATTGTTTAATTTTATTGGTTATTCGTAATATGAAATTTAATCGTAAGCTTGGCAAGTAATTTTGGAGAATTTGATCTATCCTCGCTCAAACAGAATGCCCGAGCCTACTGCCCGAGAGGCGTTTCAAAGATGGCCGCCGAGTGAAATGACTAGCCTTTAAGGGACTTTGTTTATACTCAAACACATATAGTTATAAATCCAGAGAAACTGTTTTACTTTTGCCTTTTACTTTTTCCCTACAGCTGTGTGTGTATCATCTTGCCATCCTCAAACATTTCCATGGAAGTAGTGTGGGTGTGCGTGTGCGCATGTACTCAGTCCGGTATTTTGTTTTTTACCTGGCTCTAAATGGAAGCTCATTTCCAAAACTGGTTTTCACTTTAATAGGAAACCATAGCAACAGTAGAACAAGAATGCAGAACAAATTCAAAGTACTGCCATGCTTATTAGTTTATCACAGACGTAACACTGTTGTGAATGTAGATCGAATCTGACATTTAGCTAACAACATTAGCAGCACAGTCATTGCATGCTGCTCACTGCTTGGAAAGATGTTCTTGTTGACTTGTCAACACTAAAGATCTCCACAGCAACAGCTCTAAAAACCAAACACGTGCTACATTCCACTTCACCTACTTGTACTACGCCCTAAAAGTATGTATTTTTACTGAAAATAAGACATACTTTTGAGAGTGTAACAGAAGAGTGTGCAAGCTTTGGGACATACCAGACTTCTTTAAGTTTACTGTTTTGTTGCTTGGTTACGTGCCCTGTCAATCATCCTGTCACATCCTCCACATTTCTTTTATAAATATTTTCCTATTGTATACAATAGGACAATATAACAGTGTGTCAATCTGCCATTCGTGTGTCTCTAATACAGAGAAATCTCCTCATGTGTTTGCATAACTATTGATTTAGTAGTTAATGACAAAACTTCATTTATATATTTATTTTCCTTTGGCTTAGTCCCTTTATTCATCAGGGGTCGCCACAGTGGAATGAACCACCAACTTATCCAGCATATGTTTTACACAGCAGATGCCCTTTCAGTAGCAACCCAATACTGTTAAACACTCATTCACACTCATGCACTTTGGCCAATTTAGTTTATTCAATTTATCTATAGCTGTTTCCCCTACAGTTCCAAACGACTGTAGGGAAAACCGGAGCACCCGGAGGAAACCAACACCAAAACGGGGAGAACATGCAAACTCCACACAGAAATGCCAACTGACCCAGCCAGGACTCAAACCAGTGACCTTGCTGAAGCAATAGTGATAGTCACTGAGCCGATAGTGATAGCTACTGAGCCACTGTGCCGCCTAATTCACTAATTCGATTTTCCAATTTTATTTATGATGAATAGTAGGGGCAGAAGAACAAAAAGGATTCATCAGTGCACCGTAGTTCATTCTCTAGTGGTTCTGCATCAACTCTTAATTTCATAATCATTTCTTGGTCTAGTCTGAATATGATCTAAATCATCGTGGCGGTGCTCGAAATCACATACTTCCATACTATATAGTACGCTAAAAACAGTATGCGAGTTGAGTAGTATGTCTGAATTCATAGAATTCCAAAACAGTATGTGAGAAGTAGTGTTGGGCGATGGCCGTTAGACATCACGATGCTGAGCTGGCATCACAATCCCACCCCTCATGGATAGTGTGTGTGAATTGGGATGCAGCACATGTCTGATATCTGAGAATGAGCAGCTCTGATTGTACTGGATGTGTTTGGTCTTCTGTAATTGTAAAGCTCTTCACCTGTGGTGTGTATTGTGTTTGCAAGCGCCTCTGCTGGGTGTTTTTACAGCACCTGGCACACTTGGCACTGCTCTGAGTGTGTTGTTAAACAGCCCCGCTCGGCCTTCAGACTGGATTACTGTAGCTATAAAGCGTCACTAATCTGCTCACCTCGATTATCTGCCAGATTATTACTTTCAAGATCCCCTTTAAAGCACCTTATGATTTAAACCACAACTGATATTAAAAGCCTCATGCATGTTATTGTTTTACTGTTACTTTATATGGTGTATTTAACATATTTTTTATATGGTCTGCTAAAAATGACTTTTTTTCTTTCTGTTTTTACCACACCTTTTTTACACTCTAAAAATGCTAGGAACTTAAATTTGGTTCCTTATGCACGAGGACTTTTGATTGTGAATAAGCATGTTCAGATGCTTTCGGTGAACTGTCATGCCATTATAAACTCGCCAGATCTGCATTGTTTAAAATCAGTGATCTTCACTGCCTGATTGAGATGCAATATAAAGTGCGTCTGAGACTTGACATCTATCTATCTATCTATCTATCTATCTATCTATCTATCTATCTATCTATCTATCTATCTATCTATCTATCTATCTATCTATCTGTCTGTCTGTCTGTCTGTCTGTCTGTCTGTCTGTCTGTCTGTCTGTCTGTCTGTCTGTCTGTCTGTCTGTCTGTCTGTCTGTCTGTCTGTCTGTCTGTCTGTCTGTCTGTCTGTCTGTCTGTCTGTCTGTCTGTCTGTCTATCTATCTGTCGTTATATCAGTCTAAGCAGGGTGAATCTGCCTTTAGCCACTACGCCCCTTGCTGCTGGAATCAGCTTCCAGAAATGATCAGATGTGCTCCAACATTAAGCACATTCAAATCAAGACTGAAAACACATCTGTTTAGCTGTGCCTTTACTGAATGAGCACTGTGCTGCGTCCGACAGATCGCACTATTATGTTTTTCGTTTTCTTTTTCATTCTTTTATAACCTATTTTAACTCATTTTAATTTGTTTTTATCTGTTTTTAATAATTTTTATTGTCTGCATTTTATTTTCCTAAACTTGTCTTTTTTATTCCTGTTTATGTAAAGCACTTTGAATTGCCACTGTGTATGAAATGTGCTATATAAATAAACTTGCCTTGCCTTGCCTTGCCTATATCGTTCTGTCTATCTATCTATCTATCTATCTATCTATCTATCTATCTATCTATCTATCTATCTATCTATCTATCTATCTATCTATCTATCTATCTATCTATCTATCTATCTATCTATCTATCTATCTATCTATCTATCTATCGTTCTATCTATCGTTCTATCTATCTATCTATCTATCTGTCTGTCTGTCTGTCTGTCTGTCTGTCTGTCTGTCTGTCTGTCTATCTATCTATCTGTCGTTATATCGATCTATCTATCTATCTATCTATCTATCTATCTATCTATCTATCTATCTATCTATCTATCTATCTATCTATCT